TGATGACATTCTCTTTGCTGATCTAAACTTCGATGATCTTCTTTTGCCAGATGAAAATAGTTATTTGAATACAGCATCTAACAATATAAAAAGCATGTCTCTTGGTTTAGGACAGAGTAGTCTATTGAACAACCTGAACAACAATAGTTTGTTTGCGTCATCATGCCCATCGACGGGTATGGCCTATTTTAAAGACGAATACAACCTGAATTCGAATTCCTATGAGTCGTTAACACCAAGCAAGACTTTTCGCCGACGAGTCAAGCTAGTTCTAGCTCACCCCTGTTTGTACCAACGTTATCCCCATCGTCGTCCAGCCTCCAGGCGAAACACAGTACCCTCCATGAACTGCTTCAACGGGATAGTTACCCTTCACAAGAGGTACCCCTGGGGCAAAGTGTGCCCGGGCCGAGTGTGTCGGCACTCTCGCCATCTCAAGCACGCCTACAACAAAGAATGGCGCACAGTTCAAGGCTGAGCTCATCGGCACCAACGCATTCAGCTTTAAGGGACCTCTGGCAGAGGAGGGAACCCAGACCACATTTACTATCCACTGGATCACAAGTCGAGGCTGGTTCTACATCATCTTTATCGACCGGTGTGTTGAGTCCCGAAGCGCCGGATATTTCCCACGACGAATTGGACAGTGACGAAGACAGTGAGCATTATGAGGACTATTCAACTGACGGTGAGTTAATTTCTGAGGTTTAATGACTTGTGTTGGATTGCACACAAGCCAAATCTATTACGACAACAAAACTATAAAAACAGCTCTCAAGGCTTTTCCGCATTTTTCTTGAAGCGTGCGCCGTTCAAAAGATTTGCTTTATTTACGATTCGCGTAAAATTTAAATGTGCGCGGTCAATAGCATTCGTCACGTTCATTAAGCGCTGCAGAATAAAAAAAAATGCAGGTGCTTGTGCTCGCTTGCTCCTCCACCATGAATCGCAGGATTGTTTTGTTTTCGTCGGTGGCAGTGTATAAGTTTGGCCATGAAATTAACTGTTTCCTATTTGCCACACAGTACACACATTAGAGAATATGCAAATGTGTTCGATCGTTCACACAGAACGAAACCAAAACACAAAACAAGCGGACAGAAATTTGCAAACGTTTTCGGTGCTTGTTTTTTTACACTGTGGTTTTGGATAACACGTGCCTCTGAAACTACTACTGAATATTTATTTACGATGCGCTTATCTATCGCGAATTATGTCACTGAAGTTTTGAATTCAACTTTTTATCGATACTCGATTCGAGTGTGTAACAATATTGTTTTCGTAAAACGATACGACTGGTTTGATAATCGCGATCGGTGTCGTGTGAAAGTTTGGGTTTGTTTACATCGGCACAAATAGATATAATAAATGCTAAACGGTGATACGTTTTGTGACTTAAATGCCAAACGCGTGTGTGCAACTTCATTAGGTATTCATACATTATTACGAATGCGACATTTATGATTATGATTTTCATCGGTTTGCGCGTTTTTGCAACTTGCGTTTTGATTGTTTACACGTGCCTCGCGTTCTCATATTGCTTCGAACGTTTTAAGTAAAAGTTGGGAAAAAAATAAAGTGTATTTGAAAGGGAAACTTGTCAACCTTGAAATTAATTATATTTGAACTAACACTTTGCAAATATTGATGCAAATCTATTTTAGGTGACTCAGATGACGATGAAGATCACACCGGTGTGAAGTCGATGAAAAAGAAGGAACGCTTCTTTGGCAGTACAATGTACAAGCCAAGGGACCGAAAGGACAACGCCTGATAGTCAAGACCAAGACGGAGAATCCACACGTGCTGAATCAAATCACTGACCCTGTCTTCAGCCCAGATTGTGTGGTGCGTGGTATCAAGCACAGCGGGAAAGCACGTAAAGGTGACGGTAATGATCTTACACCGAATCCAAGAAAACTCTACAACATTGGCAAAGAATTGGATAAACTGGGAAGGATTATCAACGATATGACGCCGGTCAGTGAGTTACCGTTCAATGTGCGGCCGAAGACACGAAAAGAGAAGAACAAACTGGCGTCCAGGGCGTGTAGGCTCAAGAAGAAAGCACAGCATGAGGCGAATAAAATCAAACTGGAAGGACTCGAGAATGAACACAGTGGGTGAATGAATACATTTAAATTTGATTGAATAACACTACATTGATGAAAACTTTCAGAACGACTCTTGAACCATTTGAACCAAGCCAGGCACATACTTAAAGTGAAGATTAACAATTGTGCGCAGGGGAAACAGGATGAATTCACTCAGCATGTTGAGAAAATAGCTAAATCTTCTATGAGTAAGTGTTTAAATCTACTTTTTTCGATTTATAACTAAAATTCTATGATGTTTAGAAGTGAAAATTGCTGGCCAAACAACAGAGTACGTTAACAAAGTCCTGGAGAAAATGAAGGTGCACAATGGTGGCATCCACATAACAATGGAAAACTGTATGCTGTAGTCTCCAACACAATATACTTACAACCACGTAGGCTGCTTGATATTCACGACGGGAATCTCTTCGTTTTATATTTTACATGTTTATTATCGCCGACGGGTGAATTTGTTATTTATTTTGTTTTTGTTATTTTAAATCTAAGTAAGTTGCGATCAGTCCACAGCAATACGTTGGGCTGCGATAGTTTCAAGAAATAGCATTGATAGTTCCTATTATTTTATGTTTATTAAGATGTCCTCAAATGTGGCTGCAAGTGAGGTAGTCAATTGCGATAGCTTTACTGAATACAATACAAAACAAATGAATACGAAAACAAAGAGTAAGAAAGTCATATTATATAGAAATATTTACGCGTTATTTACCTGTAGTAGAGTACTATGTAGATTTGCTACACTTTGATTCTGAATGCGAACGATTTGTGAGTTTGGAGAATGTGGAGTTACCAGCGTTTAAATGCGTTTTTTTTTGTTAGTCACATCGATGTAATGATATATTTCGTGCAATTTAAGTGTTACAGTAAGAGCATTAGGGCTATATTTATAATAATATGCTACAGACATAAGCCTAAACTAAGTGATGTGATGTAAGCAGGGCAGGAACCGAAATGAGCACACACGAAAATAAATTTGTAACGCGAAGAAAACAAAAACATCGGGAAAACGGAAAACACTGTCAAAATATTCATACTTTGAGTGTTTACTGCAATTTTATGGACTTGGCTTGACATGTTCTTGTTTATCTAATAAACAAGTACATAAATTGTATTTATTCTCAAAGAGAAAATTTCAACATGAAGTTTGTTTGTTTTATTTAGTAATTATGCATTTTGTAGAATGATATACACGTTGTTTTTTACAATTTCTTAAAGCTTTGTAAACACTCAATGTAATCTTCATTTTACTGTTTGGCTAGCCCGTGCAAATTTTTTGGCACAAGCACTAGATGTTAAATAGATGAAAAATCGTTAATATTTACCGGAAATTTAAAATTCAGCAACGAATCGCATACCCAAAATTGTCACACTTTGACATAATAATGATAAATGTGAAATGTGTTCAGTTTGTGATAGATGTTCATGCCGTTTATTAGATGCACGTTGTAAATATGATTATTACAAATTGCGCGGATGTGTAAATTGCGATGTAAATATGTACGTGTATAAAGGTGATGTTTCTAATTTTGTGTTTCTACACTTTCGATAATAAGAGCATAGTCTATTTATGTACGCATAATATTCGTTGTAAGTCGATTAAGATACATAGTTTTAGTAATCTAGTGACTATTGTTTCGATTAATTATTATACAACTTGGCTGTGTTAATACTTTTTAATTTTAAATGATGCGAAGAGTGCAAACGAACTGTGAAGAAAAGTAATTACATATACATTACTCCGCATAGCAGGGAATTTTAACAGAAAGTGCAAATTTGTAGTTTTGAAGCTTATTAAAGCTTCTTGATATTCACAAATTATATTTTAATATGGAACTAAAGAGAGAGTATGAATACAGTTTGTTTCTTGATGCTATCTGATAAGAAAGACGATATATATATTTATACCTTTTAAAATTGTAACTCTTGTTAATAATTACGACTAAAAAATGATGTTAAACTTAAGAATTAATCGTGTTTACAAAGGAACGTATTGGAATTTGATTATGGAGAGAATTTGGGCCACCTTTTTATTATGACGAAATAAAATATGCATCGGTGATAAAAACAGCAATTATTAGAAAGAGAGATGGAGATCGGGGAGTTTCTCTACACGATGCATACTTGTTCAACCTTCCAGTCCTTCCGAAAGTGCCCTATAATGTCCTTCTAAAATGAGCAAGTTCAGGAAAATTTAAAAACATGGTGTGGAAAGCACCCTGTATTTAGTGCACTGATTAACTTTCTTAAATTAAATTCTGAATCGAAATTAAAAAAATGCAAGTTCCATGCATAGTACGAGTACAATTCTTTTCAGGTTCTGCACTACCACACTGAAACTATCAGTGTTTACAAACAAGTTTTCTTATCTCTTGCAATTTTTATGCGGTCGCCACGCGGTTTGTTTGCGTACCGCGTCAGTCTTATTCTTGTCGCCAGGTGATCAGCATGTACATTTACCTGACAATAATTTGAGTCTCTTTATTTATCTTATTACGTTATTACGTAGTGTTGTTTCTCAATGCTCCTTCGATTGTGCGCGGGTGATATGCGTCGTTTATGGATTTTGCTACTGAGTCTGACATTGTAGAAGGACTATTCTTTCATCAGATTGTAAGAATTAAATTTCTTTATCATTTTCCTAAATAACTTTTGTGATTATCTCACAAATTGACCCCCAAAATAGCATTTTTATGTTTGATGGACTAATTTTTGCTGGTTTTACGGATTTTGCACCTGAACCTGACATCGTAGGTGAAACATTCTTGCCCCAGATTGTAAGTATTAAATTTCATAATCATTTTCCTAAATAACTTTTGTGATTATCTCACAAATTGACCCCCAAAATAGCATTTTTATGTTTGAAGGACTAATTTTTGATGGTTTTAGGGATTTTGCACCTGAGTTTGACACCGTAGGAGGATCATTTTCCTAAATAACTTTTACGATTATCTCACAAAATGACCCCCAAAATTGCAATTTTATGTTCGAAGTACTAATTTTTGCTGTTTTATGGATTTTGCTCCTGAACCTGACATCGTAGGAGAAACATTCTTGCACCAGATTGTAAGTATTAAATTTCATTATCATTTACCTAAATAACTTTTGTGATTATCTCACAAATTGACCCCAAAATAGCATTTTTATGTTTGAAAGTCTAATTTTTGATGGTTTTAGGGATTTTGCACCTGAGTTTGACACCGTAGGAGGATCATTGCTGCTTTCAGTTTCCTTCGATAAATCAATTTTTAGGTCTAAAAGTTATTTTAGCAGATAATTCAGTTTTTTAAGTTGTAATTTCCACTTCTTACCTTGGCTTTGAAAATCGGCCATTATCATATATCCACCCTGTGGTTGAATTGGTTTTAAACCCGCTTTAACAAACGCTTTCATTAAAAACTCTCGTTTCGTAAATAACTCTTCGGATAAAGTGTAAAAGAAACACTCTTTTGGGTTATTAAGCATCAAATCAAACTCTTTCTCAAATGCTATAGCAATAGCCTCTTGTATGGGTGTCAAATGTGCGTAAATAGAATTTTGGTAAATTACTTTAAAATTATTCATCAAGCCCGCTGGCCCATAAGCCCATCCTGTTCGCCAACCGGTAATGTTGAACGTTTTGCCTGCTGAACCGACGGTAATTGTTCTCTCCCACATACCTGGCAGGGTAGCTATTGAATTTAAAACTTAGTTTAAGCATTTTCAATTAATAAAATATAAATTACCCATCCTTATGTGTTGATATGGTTTATAAACCAACCATTCATACACTTCATCAGCGATACATAAAACATTCCACTTTTTGCATAAATCTGCAATCATTTGCATTTCCTCCATATTGAAAACCTTTCCAAGAGGATTATTAGGTGTATTTAGAAGGATTGCTTTTGTTTTTGAATTGAACATACTTTCCAACTCTTTTTTGTCTAAGTGAAAATCATTAGTTGTCAATACACAACCATTATTACTTCCATTATGTGTCAGTGGTATAAAAATAGGTTTGGCACCAGTTTCTCTGATCATTGGCTCATAAGACTCAAAAAATGGCTCAATAACAATCACTTCATCACCATAATCAAGTATTCCATTAAAAATATTATACAGAGCTTGTTGAGCACCTTCTGATATAAGCATTTCAGTGTCTGGATTGATTTCTCTGTTTATCAGTTTAGAGTAAAGTTTTGAGAGGATATTAACCAATCTAGGATGACCCTACATATATTTAGATTTAGTATTTTGCATAATAAGCGTACATACCAATTAAATGTGAATGTAAACTTACGTATTCTTTGGTGTATTGATGAAGCAATACATTATCGCTTCTAGCTACATCTGCTAATGCTTCAGTTACATGTTTCGGTGGTGCAAAATCTGCAAATCCAACTCCTAAGTTAATTGGATTATATTTTGAACAAGATTCAATCATTTCTACCCTAAACATCAAATTTAAGTCATTTTCCTAATTAGAATTAACGATAAATCGTAATATCTTACCAAATATTCGGGCCAGGACTTCCATATCGGTCAGGAAGTTTGAATTTTGTGCTAATATCACTCATTTTGCAAACTGCTTTCTTGAGAAATTTTAATGTGTTTATATATTAGCTCAATTATTTGTTGCATTGTAGTTAATAATATCTCTACATTGACATGAAATGTGACACGAAATTGTGTATAATTGCATATAATTGCAAAAATATTTACCCTTGTTTTTCATAAATTATTGTGCTGTCACAAAAGTTTATGACAAGCAATCACCTCGTTATGTTATAACTTGTCAAACAATAAATTGTAGTAAAAAATTCATACGTATTTTAAATTATTGAAAATTTTTACAAAATTTTGCGAGAAAATTTTATTAAAGTGGCAAAAATGTCGATGGATTTGATTTCGTCACCAAATCCACATTTTATTCCAGGGTAGTATCAAAGTATTCTCCTCGAATTATTATATTTAATGTTATTTTAACAAAGGTACACTGGTCATTGTCCCGAATACAAATATCGTGTTGGTAACTCTTATGGATCTACAACGCATAAATTATTATTAGACCCATCAGTTGGGCATTCAGAAAAGTTAATATTATCGGATAGAAATGTAGATGACTATCAAGTAATACTCAATGTTTATTTAATTACTTAAGTAAATATGGTATATTTACGGTATATTTATTAGGTGGTGAGACCTGCACAAAGAGATATTGATATTGTAAACTCTCGTATCAAGCACGGTGGTGAAATTTACCAACATCCCACAATTCCAGGATATGAGGGTTTTGTACCAAGACTAAATGGTCTTTTTGGTCAAAGATATACAGTGCAAGCTACTGAAGCATTGTCTCAGTTTCAAGAATTGCAACAAGCAGATGCTAAAGCTTTGAATCAGTTGATGCGGCAAGGTGCTTTGCAAGATAAAAAGTGGGATCCGCGAGATTTAGATGATCGGGAGGTAATTTGCTTAGATAGACACGAAATTATAAAAAATATTTATAAAATTTATGCGGTACTAGTTGACGACTAGTGAGTTTACTTTGCCGCTTCTTGAAGTACGACCGGAATGTGCTGCGGTTCAAAGAAATTTGCCAATAGAAGAGCCACCAATCACACCACCTATGCATTCTCATAGTCCTTATTTTATGGAAAATACTCAAGCTGAGAAATATTTAAAACAAGGTGTGTGTGATATTTAAAAAAATCATTATTGATCACAATTATGATTCCGTCATATTATTTTTTTATTCAGGATTTTCTGGTCATTTACCATTCGGTTATTCTTCGTTTGGAAAAGCTAATCAAGCGTTAACAAACGGTGCTCTTTGTGATTTTACTTCTAACTACCGAAAACGATTAAGTACCGAATGGGCCCCGGTGTCAGTGAGTAGACCGGATCCTCCTCTAGCAATAATAAGTCATCATGTTTATCAAAGACATGTGGGCTTGTTGCCCAATTATGGCGGCCATGTACCAGGAGAAAAGTTCCGGTATGACTTAGAAAAGTTTCTTTATTTGTAATATCAATGATGAAATATTTTTTTAAGATTTGGGAATACATTTGGAAATGATACCAGAGATGCAAAACGATGGCTCAGGCAAGATTTTAGTAACTAAAATTTGGTTCCTTAACGTTTCGGATTGGGATATTTTGGGGAATTTGATATTTCTATATTTTTTACAATTTCAGAATAAAAAAAGTTGTCTCTAATTGTTCCTCCACTTACTCAACTATGGTTAATGAAAGCAAAACACCACTTTAATAGTTAAAGAAAAATCTTTCATTAATTTTAATCTAAATTCCTTCAAAGTTCTAAGTTCCTTCTGAATTCCGGAATTCTTATTTGTATTCAGAGATGGCACTAGCATGAACTAAAAATCATAAAATAGAATTGTATTGTTTATTTCTATATTTATCGGCAAACGTAAGTAATCGGCATGAGAATTGTGTATGTTTTGAACAGAACTGACACTTTCTTATAGCATTCGCCGCGTGGAATGCAACGCATGAGATTCACGAGTGCCGTCCCCTCACGCCACATGTTGGCACATCTTAGTTTAGTTTTGGTCGCAGGTAACGTGCTACATGCGATTCGTGCCATCGACGCACTTGCTTTGCGCACCTCTTGCTTTCTTATCATAAACTGTTGCGTCGTTGCTGGCACAGTTTGCAGCCAGTTTTGTGCCGGTTTATGGCTCATCCAGACGTGTTTTACGCGACTCGTACTCGTATTGTTCGTTCGGACTTCTATGCTCCAAATTCGCATTAAATTTGATCATCAATCGACTATTTAATTGTTACTACTATAGTAATGCTATTTACTCTTTGCGCGTTTATTGTCCGGCCGGTTTTTTATCGCGCTGAAAGTGTATATTGCAACTCACAAGGTGTCGAGTTACGATGTGAATCAAATACATATTGTCCCATGTTGATTTCTTCATAATTAGAATGACCAATCGCGCTTGTGAACTTTTTATAACTTTTAATTAAACCGCACAGATTGTTTGATTGTTTCTTCGCTGTTAGAATGTAATATTACTAAATCGTATGAAATATTTTTGTTTTAACTTATGTTTTCTTTTTAAATTTACAGTATTTGCCGAGCCTTGGAGTCCGATAAGTTGTGCATTGGTAAGTTTCTAATTCAATTATATTTTTCATTATAATTTCTGCGTTGTACATCTGTTTATATCTACGTAGTTTTTTGTATTGTGTTTCACCGCGTGTTGCAAAGGCACATATAGTCGCGTTTCCATACTCTCTATTTCTTTTAGTATACGAGATATTCGCAATTGAAGAAAACTCTGAAAAACTGAAAATGTCAATTTTTCGCATCTTTTGAGAGGATTTAAGAACCTTTACTCTTCAAAAATTAACTATTTTCTTATCTTCTTATATTATAGTCAAATTTTAATTCCAAAGAAAAAATTGCCAAGGGGGGGTGCTTGATACTTTTTTTCGACGATTTTTGATAATTAATATCTCTTAAACTAAAACCCATAGCAACCAATGCATTGCGGATTATGAAAGATTGGAACATTCTCTATCAGATAAAGATATAAAATAATTATATTTCTTACAGTAAAAGGTCGAAAATTGCGACTAAAAGTACTAAAAAGTGACATTTTGCAATTTTTGCCCATTTTATTGAATCGCGAATATCTCGTAAACTAAAAGAGATAATTAAGATCCGATTGCAGCGTCTTAATCTACGGACTATTCTCTATAAGATAAGCTAGTTAAAACGGAAATCTGAGAGATGAAATTTTAATTCGAAAGATAAAATGGGCGAATGAAAGTCAGCCCAAACACAATTCACTTCTACCGCTACCCTTGTACGGTGCACTGAATAAAGTCACTTTCACCGCTACCCTCGTATGTACCCGTGTAATGGGAATCACTTCCACCGTTACCTTCGTACGGTGCCCTGAATGGAAGTCACTTCTACCACTACCTTCGTACGGTCAATTATAAGAAAGCGGGCAATCATACGAAATTACATTATTATTATTATATAAGTCGTATTTTAATTTTTCATTGCTTTTAATAAACTAAATTGAGGCAGATGGTCATCATTCATATATGTCACTAGCATGAACTAAAAATCATAAAATAGAATTGTATTCTTTATTTCTATATTTATCTGCAAACGTGGGCATTCAGCACGAGAATTGTGTTTGTTTTTATCACAATTTATTTTCTTATCGCTTCGGCCGCGTGGAATGCAAGGCATGAGATTCACGAGTGCCGTCCGTTGCCATCCCCTCACGCCGCATGTTGGCGCATCTTAGTTTAGTTTTGATCGCAGGTAACGTGCCTATTTGGCCGTAACTGCGTAACTGTCGTGTGTTTTCAAGGACTACTTTTTTTTTGTTTTAAAGATTTTGCACCTGAGTCTGACATCGAAGAAGAACCATTCTTGCAACATGTTATGAATATTAAATTTCTTTATCATTTTCCTAAATAACTTTTCTGATTATCTAATAAATTGACCCCCAAAATGCATTTTTATGTTCGAATGACTAATTTTTCGTTGATAGAAAGGATAAACCTTAAGGGTTTCACTAAAACTTTTACCACTCTACGACATGTTTCGCCACACTGTGGCATCATCAGGCAGATAAATATTATCATTTTCTTAATTTACTTTTGTGATTATCTCACAAATTAACCCCCAAAATTAAATTTTTATGTTCAAAGGACTAATTTTTAATGGTTTTAGCGATTTTGCACCTGAGTCTGACATCATAGAAGGACCGTTCTTGCATCAAAGTGTAGGTATTAAATTTTTTATCATTTCCCTGAATAACTTTTGTGATTATCTCACAAATTGGCCCCCCAAAATGGCATTTTTATGTTCGAAGGACTAATTTTTGATGATTTTAAGGATTTTTCACCTGAGTCTGAGTTCGTAGAAGGACCATTCTCGCATCAAATTGTAAGTAATAAATTTCTTTATCATTCTCTTTATTTACTTTTGTGATTATTTCACAAATTGACTCCCAAAATTGCATTTTTAATGCTCGCAGGACTAATTTTTGCTGGTTTTAGGAATTTTGCTCTTGAGTCTGACATCGTAGGAGGAACATTCTTGCATCAGAATGTAAGTATTAAAATTCTTTATCATTTTATTAATTAACTTTTGTGAATACCTTACAAATTGCCCCCAAATATTGCATTTTTATGTTCGAAGGACTAATTTTTGATGGTTTTAGGGATTTTGCACCTGAGTCTGAGATCGTAGAAAAAACCATTCTGGTATCAGATTGTAAGTAATTAATTCCTTTACCATTTTCCTAAATAACTTTTATGATTATCGAACAAATTGACCTCCAAAATTGCGTTTTTATGTTCGAAGGACTAATTTTTGATGGTTTTAGGGATTTTGCACCTGAGTCTGACATTGTAGAAGGGACTATTCTTGCATGAGAATGTAAGTACTAAAATTTTTATCATCCTCTAATTAACTTTTCTGATTGTCTAACAAATTGACCCCCAAAGTACATTTTATGTTTGAAGGACTAATTTTTTGCTGGTTTAGGGATTTTTGCACCTGAGGCTGACATTGTAGAAGAAGAACCATTCTTGCACCAGATGGTGAGAGTATTAGAATTTATAGCATCATTTTCCTAATTAACTTATTGTGATTGTCTCAAAAATTGACCCCTAAAATTGCATTTTATATTTGAAGGACTAATTTTTCGCTTGTTTTAGGGATTTTGCACCTGAGTCTGACATCGTAAAAGGGGCCATTATGGTATGGAATTGTAAGTAAGTGAATTCCTTTGTCATTTTCCTAAAATAACTTTTTGATTATCAGTACAAATTGACCTTCAAAATTGCATTTTTTATGTTCGAAAGGACTAATTTTTGCTGATTTTAGAGGATTTTGCACCTGAGTCTGTTGACATCGTAGAAGGGACCATTATGGTATCAGATTGTAAGTAAATAATTCCTTTATCATTTTCTTAAATAACTTTTTATGATTATCATTAAAATTGACCCAAAATTGCATTTTATGTTCGAAGGACTAATTTTTGCTTTTTAGGGGATTTTCACCTGAGTCTGACTTGGTAGAAGGACCATTCTCGCATCAAATTGTGGTAATAAATTTCTTTATCATTCTCTTGCGAATTTACTTTTATGATTATTTCGATCCCAAAAATTGCATTTTATGTTCAGGACTAATTTTTGCTGTTTTAGGAGTTTTTCACCTGAGTCGGACTTGGTAGAAGGACCATTCTCGCATCAAATTGTAAGTAATAGAGATTTCTTTATCATTCTCTAATTTACTTTTATAGTTATTTCTAGAAATTGATCCCCAAAATTGCATTTTATGTTCGAAGGACTAATTTTTGCTTGTTTTAGGGATTTTCACCTGAGTCTGACTTGGTAGAAGGATCATTTTCTCGCATCAAATTATGGTAATAAATTTGCTTTATCATTCTCTTAATTTACTTTTATAGTTATTTCACAAATTGATCCCCAAAATTGCATTTTATGTTCAGGGGGACTAATTTTTGCTTGTTTTAGGGATTTTTCACCTGAGTCGGACTTGGTAGAAGAACCATTCTCATCAAATTGTAAGTAATAAATTTCTTTATCATTCTCCTAATTTACTTTTATGATTATTTCACAAATTGATCCCCAAAATTGCATTTTATGTTGGAAGGACTAATTTTTGCTTGTTTTAGGGTTTGCACCTGGGTCGGCATCTCGTAGAAGGACCATTCTTGCATCAATTGTTATTATTAAATTTCATTATCTTTAATAACTTTTGTGATTATTACACAAATTGACTCCCCAAAATGTAATAGCATTATTGTTTTCTTTTAATGAGAGCTCATGCATATTTTTAAGTTTTTCTAATTATAATTATTTCTCTTATTTCTACCCGATCACATATTTAACGATTCCTTAGGCATTTATTTTGAGAAAGGGTGCATGCTAGTGCCATCTATCAGTTAGAAACTACAACAACCGAAGTTTTGAGCTTCGGTCCGTCGCCATAAGAGGCAGCACATTACTGATTGCCGCGAAAACTTTATCAGCCTCCTCAACTTTCTGCGATCCTAATATTTAATCTTTATTTTTGTCGACTCTGAGAGGCAAAAATGACACAAAATTGGACTCAGAAACAGTCGAAACTCGACTTTTGGGTATTCCGGATCGCAGAGAGTGAGGGAGGCTGATAAAATTCAGCTTGACAACAATAGGAAACGAGGAAAAAATTAATGTTTAAAATCTTCTTTCAGCAAGTGCAGCTTCTGTATATTCGGAATTTTTTAGAATTTTTGTGTTCAGTTCTGTTAGCAATAATTCTATATCGACTTTTATGTAATTACTTTCTTAACATTGATCGTTTAGGCTCTATTTGCATGTTTTTTAATAAATTGTTTTACATACCAATAGGGGGCCTTGATATAAGTGTGTTACTGGTTTCCGATTCAATTTAATCACTTTCAGAATCGAAAACAAATTTAAAAATTTAGTATTAGAACCTACATTTGCTGAAAAAAGATTTCGTCATAAAAAGAAGGCAGGCATTTTCTTTTTATGTCGAATGTTGTTTCATTAAAATTTACAAGTGGGCATAAATAGTTTGAGTACTAATAAAAATGTTTCTAAAATAACCGGTGTAAAATTATATTATCAATCATAATCGAAGCAAATTTAAAAATTCCCACTTTTTTTAATTTTCGACATAAAAGAGAAATCTTTTGCTTTTATAACAAAATCTTTTCTTTCAAAATTTTTTCGATGCCATTTTGTGGTTTTTCAATAAGTAAGCCATCTTGTCCAAGAATTCTTCAAGGACCAAAGGGATTTGGTTCTTTTTTTCTAGCCCTATTAGTTGTCGAGATAATTACCATTTAATCTTTTTATAAATTAGACTATTCCGACGGGATACACGTGTTTTTATTCTAATTGCAAATGGGGCTAAACGGTTGAAATACTAGCAACAAATTTACTAAAACAATCGATGCTTAAGAATTAAACTATCTATCAGTAGCCGAAGCAAATTTTCTAAATTCCAGCTTTTAATTTTCAACATGAAACTTTGGCCCTTTTATAGTGAGTATTTCGACAACTAAAAGGGGTTAGGAATAAAAATAACTACATATTCTTGATCCTTGAAGATTTAGACAAGATAGCATATTTATCTCAAAACGAAGACTAGACACCAAAAATTTTTTTATGAAAAGATTTTTTGTTATAAAAAGACAGATTTCTCTTTTTGTATTTGGAAATTAAATATTGGAAATTTTAAATTCCTGAATTTCGAATTCTCATAAACAATTTAATTCATATCAATTATTCTAGTAAGTTTTACTAACGTTAACCGTTTGAACCTAATAACACAATTGAATGAAAACATGTGCATACCGTCGGAATGAACCAAATTTAAAGATTAAATAGTGATATCTCGACAACTAAGAACTTAGAAAAGAACATATTCTTGATCATAATCCCCAAGATGGCATCCTAATAAAATGATGAAAATGGCACAAAAATTTTAAAAGAAAGATTTCGTCATAAAAAGGCAAAAGATTCTCTTTATGTTGAAAAGAAAGTAAATATTGGGAGCCACAGAATTCTGATTTCGAATTCTGATAATTAATTTAATTCTATATCAGTATTCTAGTAAAATATTTTACTTTGCTTTTATTAACGGTTTTAGGCCTATTTGCAATATTATTGAAAATTGAATGTACCGAAACAAGTAAATAATACATATAATAATTTGGCGGGAATTTGTCTGTCCACTTTCTGCGTTCCTAATACTACAGACTGATGAACAGCAACATTTTCAGCAAATTTCTCGGTAAAATTTTGTCCGAGGAAATCCATTGAAAATCGGTGACAAAATTCTTTTGAATATATTACAGGATCGCAGAAAGTTGAGGAGGCTGAATCTCCAGCAATCTTGAATAGCGGCGTAGTTTAGTTACTCGTGGATAGATGACACTAGTGATAGCATTTTTAAATTAATATTGATACAAATTGACTTTTGAATTATTTCCCATACTTAATAGTGGCATTACCACATTTTAAGTTTAAAATTTATGGATTAATTAAAGGAGTAACGATATTTGCGAGCTATATGTTCTCAGTTTTGGAGCAAATAAAATAATAAAAATTTATAGTTAAAATATAAAACAACAATTTTATTCAAAACGTGTAGAATCACAAACTCAATTTCTCAATATATACAGCATTTTAAAAAATACATATGCATAAAAACAGGATAATATTACACAATTATATAATGCTCTTTTTATAACTATTAACAAAATAAACAAAAATGAAATAATAACTTAGCTTCGAATTATTTGTAAATTCATTTCAATCGTATTTGGTATCATCATCAACACCGGCAATCCAATCTTCAATTTCTCGGACTCTATAAATCAAAAATGAATAACAAAACAGTAACATATAAAATATTATAAATTGCAAAAATATAACATACGTTCTGGGTATTTTAGTCTAGTTGACACATCCATCTTCCCGGTAATCAAACTTCATCCTCAAAACGCACTCTACCTGTACCACGGAAGCTCTCAGTTGGTCCTGTTGATAAACTGAGGCCATCTCAGGTTGCCAATGCTTCATCCAACAACTGGAAAATATTTATGTAAATGAAGAATATGGAGTATACATAAATTAAATTAATTATTCTTACAGGATCCATAAAAGACTCCCATTTTAGAGCAACGTACGAAGATAGCGGTAAAGTGAGCTCCCATTCAAAACACCGTAGGGTAGCGTTAACTTTTTATGTAAGTGTTAATGCAAGAACTCATCGGACTCCATGGTACAGCGAATACTGTAAAAAACGTAGAGTTAAAATAACTTGCATAAGGAAGTATGTATAAATATAATATATAAGGTAGTATATATAAATCTCGCAATAAAATTCAATACAGAGAGATGCAGAATTAAATTCTCATCTGGGAAGAATTAGTCCAAACTTATTGTGACACCGCGCGCTCACGGAATTTATATCAGTAAAACTACAATTCCAAGCGCAACGAGTACCAGTGCGTATACACACAACTTTCATTTATAACTCGCGTTTACGGGTTTTCTTGCAATAGAAATTTCATTACGGAGATACAAAATTAAATTCTGCTTCTGGGGAAATTATTCCTAACTTATTATGACACCGCGCGCTCGCAGAGTAATATCAGTGAAACTACAATTTCAAGCGCAGCGAGAGGTACCAGTGCGTACACACAACTTTCAATACAACTCAAGCGCAACGGTACCAGTGCACGTATACACATAGCTTTCTTATAACTCGCATTACGGAATGTTCATGCAATAGAATTTCAATACAGGGAGATACAAAAAATTAAATTCTGAATCTGGGAAAATTGTTTCAAACTTAGTGTGACACCGCGGTCGCGAGTTAGATCAGTAAAACTACAATTCCAAGCGCAACGAGTACCAGTGCTATACACACAACTTTCATTATAACTCGCGTTACGGAATTTTCATGCAATAACTTTCAATACAGGGAAGTACAAAATTCTGCAAATTTACTTAAGTGGTGTTAAACTTGGTGTGACATTGCGATCACCCGAGTTATATCAGTAAAACGACAATTCAAGCGCAACGAGTACAAGTGCGTATACACATAACTTTTCATTATAACTCGCATTACGGAATGTTCTTGCAATAAATTTCAATACACGGGAGATACAAAATTAAATTCTGCATCTGGAAAAATTATTCCAAACTTGAGTGTGACACACCGGGTCGAGAGTTATATCGAGGTAAAACTACAATTCCAAGCGCAACGAGCACCAGTGAGTATACACACAAATTTCATTATAACTCGCGTTACGGAATTTTCTTGCAATAGAATTTCAATACACGGAGATACAAAATTAAATTCTGCATCTGGGAAGAAATTATTCCAAATTTATTTGTGACACCGCGATCGCGAGTTATATCAAAAACCTACAATTCAAGCGCAACGAGAGTACCAGTGCGTATACACAACTTTCATTATAACTCGCGATACGGAATTTTCTTGCAATAAATTTCTATACAGAGAGATACAAAATTAAATTCTGCATCTGGGAAAATGATTGCAAACTTGGTGTGACACCGCGTTCGCGTGTTATATTCAAGCTGATTTCAATACAGGGAGAAAAATATAATTGAAAAACATCAATTAAACAGAGATGAAATTTTAATTCTTAAGAAAAGGAGTACTTGAGGGGTGCTTGATGCCTACTTTTTCGACGATTTTTGATAATTAATATCCTCTTAAACTAAACGAGATAGCAACCCACAATTGTTGATTATGAAGATTGGAAAATTGTCTATCGGATAAAATATAAAATAATTATATTTTCTGCAGTAAAGGTCGAAAAACGCGACTAAAGTGCTAAAAGTGACATTTATCAATTTTGCCCATTTTATTCAATCGCGAATATCTCATAAACTAAAAGATAAATAAGATCTGATCGCAGCATCTTAATCTACGGACTATTTTCTATCAGATAGGATATTTAAAAGGGAAATATGAAGACAAAATTTTTAAGTCTTAAGAAAAAATTGCCAAGGGGTGCTTGATACTTTTCGACGATTTTGATAATTAATATCTCTTAAACTAAGCAGAGATAACAACCCACGGGTATTGATTATGAAAGATTGGAAATTGTCTATCAGATACAAATATAAAATAATTATATATCCAACAAGTAAAAGGTCGAAAACGCGACTAAAAGTGTAAAGTGACAATTATCAATTTTGCCATTTTATTCAATCACTTGAATATCTCGCAAACTAAAAGAGATAAATAAGATCTGATCGCAGCATCTTAATCTACGGACTATTTTCTATCAGATAGGATCTTTAAAAGGGAAATATAGGCTTACAAAATTTTAAGTCTTAAGAAAAAATTGCCAAGGGGTGCTTGATACTTTCGGACGATTTTGATAATTAGCTATCTCTTAAACTAAACGAGATAACAACCCACGAATTGTTATTTGATTATGTGCTTGATACTTTTTTTCGATGATTTTTGAAAATTCATAGCTCTTAAACTAAAAGCCACAGCAACCAACAAATTGCTGATTATGATAGATTGGAAAATTCTGTATCAGATAAAAATATAAAATAATTATATTTCCTATAGTAAAAGGTCGAAAAACGCGAGTAAAAGTGCTAAAAAGTGACATTTTTCAATTTTGGCCCATTTTATTCAAACGCGAATATCTCGTAAACTAAAAGAGATAATTAAGATCTGATCGCAGCGTCTTAATGTACGGACCAATCTCTATCAGATACAATAGTTAAAAGGGAAATCTGAGAGATGAAATTTTCAATCTTAAGAAATAATTGGTAATTTGATAATTGATCATTTTTATCAACGATTTTCGACAGCGAGCATCATACAAACTATATGAGATAGCAATCAGAAAATTATTGATTACGGAAGAATGGAAAAATCTCAATCAGATGGAAATTTAAAATAATTTAATTTAATGGGGCGAGTATTCGAAAAACGCGACTGAAAGTGCTAAAAATTAAAATTTATAAAATGTTGACGATTTATTTTAATTGCGAATATCTCGTAAACTAAAATCTTGTGTCTTTGCACCACGCGGTGGAACGCAATAAAAAAAACAACGTAAGTATAAACTAATGTACGACGCAGAAATTATAATGAAAAATATAATTGAATTATAAACTTACCAATGCAGAACTCATCGGACTGCAAGGCATGGCAAATACTGTAAATAAAAAAAAGAATAGGTAATATTTAGTAGTAACAACCAAACAATCTGTCCGGTTTAGAAAGTTACGTACATCAGCACGATGGGTCATTCTAATGATGAAGAAATCAACATGGAGCAATATATAAATTTGATTCACATAGCAATTCGACACCTCGTGAGTTGCAATATACACTTTCAGCGCGATCAAAAACTGGCCGGACAATAAACGCGCAAAGAATACATAGCAGTACTATAGTAGATACAGTTAAATAGTCGATTGGTGATCAAATTTAATGCGAATTTGGAAAGCAGAAGTCCGAACAAACAACACGAGTCGCGTAAAATATGTCTGGATCGACCTGAGACCGACACGAAACTAACTGCAAAGTGAGCAAGCAACGACGCGACAGTTTATGATAAGAAAGCAAGAGGTGCGCAAAGCCAGTGCGTCGATAGCACGCGACCTTCAGCGCGAATCGCATGTAACACGTTACCTGCGACCAAAACTAAACTAAGATGCGCCAACATGCGGCGTAAGGGGATGGTAACGAACGACACTCGCTCGTGAATCTCATGCGTTGCATTCCACACGGCGAATGCGATAAGAAAGTGTAAGTTGTGTTCGAAACAAACACAATTCTCCCCAGATTGCCCACGTTTGCCGATAAATATAGAAATAAACAATACAATTCTATTTTATGATTTTTAGTTCATGTTAGTGACATCTATGAATGATATAAATAAGAATTTAAAGTAAAATTTAAATTTACATTATAATCTATTAAAGTGGTGTTTTTGTAATTGTTTTGTAATAATCAACATGTCAATACATACAATATTTGGAGTTTATTTAAATTTAAAATTATATTGTATAACAAGTTCATACTGTTTATTGTATCTTAGAAAACAGATCATGGAGGACTCGAGCTGCAGCGCACAGTTTTTCATCTCGCTATAAATACATAAAAATCATTAATACAGACTTACTGCAATTTGTTCAAAATTTCTTTTACCTTGATAAAACAAAAACGAATTAAATTCTCTGCCACTAGCTTGTTCTCGGTGCTATAAAATGCAGAAGCAGGAAAACCCATCAAACCATTCCTAGCCAGCCACTTCGTCAATCGTATATCTTTGTAATTTCCTGTCTCCTTTGATAAATCAATGTTTGTACCTACGGATTATTTATGCTGTTAATTCGCAGTTTTTAAAGTATAATTTCCACTCCTTACTTTGGTTTCGAAAATCGGCAATTATCATATATCCACCCTGTGGTTGAATCGGATTTTACATAAAACATTCCATTTTTTGCATAAATCCGCAATCATTTGCATTTCCTCCATGTTGAAAACTTTCCCAAGTGGATTATTAGGTGTATTTAGAAGGATTGCTTTAGTTTTTGAGTTGAACTTACTTTCCAATTCCTTTTTGTCTAAGAGAAAATCATTAGTAGTCAATGCACCACCAGTATTACTACCATTATGTCTCAGTGGAATAAAAATAGGTTTGGCCCCAGTTTCTCTGATCATAGGCTCATAAGGCTCAAAGAATGGCTCAATAACAATCACTTCATCATCATCATCAAGCATTCCATTAAAAATATTGTACAGAGCCTGCTGAGCACCTTGTGATATAAGCATTTCAGTGTCAGGATTGATTTCTCTGTTTATCAGTTTTGAGTAAAGTTTTGAGAGGATATTAACCAATCTGGGATGACCCTACATACATTTAGTATTTAGTATTCCTTTAAAATTTCATGGACATTAAATAAAATAATAAAAAAATATGAATAAATTATTGCTTTTTAGAGGCATAATATAAGTACATACAAATTAAATGTGCATGTAAACTTACAAATCCTTTGGTGTATTGATGAAGCAATAAATTATCGCTTCGAGCTACACCTGCTAATCCTTCAGTTACATGTTTCGGTGGTGCAAAATCCGCAAATCCAACTCCTAAGTTAATTGGATTATATTTCGTATATTCATCCATTTCTAACCTAAACATCCAATTTAAGTCATTTTTCTGCCCAAAAGTAACAGTAAACTGCATAATCTTACCAAATATTTGGGCCTGGAATTCCAAATCGGGCAGGAAGCTTGAATTTTGTGCAAATTTCACTCATTTTGGACGTTAAAACTGCTTTCATTTAAACAATACAAGCAGATGCCCATGAACATGTACTTATATATGACTTAAACTCTAAATACATAACACATCTACTATCTTATCTAAAGTTCAAGCATTTGGTCATGCTTTTATTCTGTTTTCATGTCTACAAACATTTAATCACAGCTATTAAAGTTTCCTAAGGTATTATAAAGTAACAAAAATATCTTTATGTTGTAGATAGTATAGGTACCCTTTTCGAATTTATGATTGTTTCATTTTCTTTAAAATTTCAGCTGCTTGCTTGAGTTTTTTATCCTCCTATAACAAAAAATATATATTTTTAAATGAAATGGATTTAGAGCAACGATACGCACCTTTATGAAACAATAACGAATGTATTTCTCTGCCAATTCTTTATGTGCGCTATAAAAAGCTGTCGGGGGTATTCCCAACAACCCCACATTTTTCGCCATCCATTTCGCCATGCGGTAATCCTTGAATTTGTCTTTTTCCGTCGACAAATCCATTTGGCTTTCTAAAATTAATCAAAATCATTAATTTTCATGAAAATAATCTTAAAGTAAGTAGTTTTTACCTATAGGAGACCAATCAGCAAGAATAAAATAGCCTCCTTCTGGACACACTGGTTTCATACCACTTTCCGCTAGGAATTTGCACATAAAATCGCGTTTGGGTGTCAATTCATCCACAATTGTGTAGAAGAAACAATTCTCAGGATCATTATCCATCCGATCAATTTCCTTTTCAAAACCTAACGCAATGGCCTCTTGAATTGGCGTGGAATGTACGTACACCACATTTTGATGCACAACCCGCATGTTTTCTAGAATATTAGACGGCCCATATGCCCATCCGGTTTTCCAGCCTGTCACGCTGAAAGTTTTACCTGCTGAACCAATTGTAATAGTTCTTTCCCACATGTCCGGCAGTGTGGCTAAAACATTTTCAACTTTATAGCCAACAATAACAATAAAATAACATTGTTTCTAACCCATTCTAATGTGGCATTTTGGTTTATAAACCATCCACTCATAAACTTCATCAGATATACAAATAACATTCCACTTTTTGCATAAATTCGCAATCATCTCCAATTCCTCATAGCTGAACACCTTTCCAAATGGATTATTTGGTGTATTCACAATTATCAGCTTAGTTTTATCATTAAACAGACCTTCCAACTCATCTGGGTCCAAACAAAAGTCAGATGATGTAATCATACCTTCTGGTTCAGATAGCTACAAAATGTTCATTGATAATAAACTTTAAACAATAAAAAAGATTAATTTTATACCATTCTAAGTGGAATAAATCTTGGAATGCCACCAGCTGCTCGAACCATTGGTTCATAGCAATCAAAAAAGGGTTCAATGATAATAACTTCATCACCTTTACTCACATGACCATTGATAGCTGTAAACAGAGCCTCATAGGCACCAATTGTGATCAGAACATTGGTGAGTGGATCCAATTCTCTGTTGAGCAACTTGGAGTATAGTTTTGCTAAGGCATTGACTAACCTTGGATGCCCCTGATGAACAATACATTAATAGTAAGTAAAAGTGAGTTAATTGTTTATAAACATACATATCCTCTGGTATATTGATTCAACAAGTGATTATCACTGCAAGCCACTGACTGCAAGGCTTCTGTGACATATTTTGGTGGTGGATAATCTGGAAATCCTTGGCCCAGGTTCAATGCCTTGGTCTTGGCTGCCACCTCAATGAACTCAACCCTTGAAAACACCTGTTATGACCTGCTATATATTACAAATCTCTACAATATTTACCACACACTCTTTTCGCCTTTGCCATATCGTTTTGGCAGCTGGAATTTCTCTTCCATGGCACAGGCAGCTTCAGCGGCACAGGCGTCAGACATGGCACGTTTTCCTCCTCGTCGTATAGCAGCGGATGTTAGTTTTAATATGGAACTGATTAAACGCGTAGAAAGCATCTAATTTAAAATATAATGGTTATTAGTTTCTCTGGCTTACATCACTCTCACGCTGGCAGCGCATGCAGTTGACAATAAAGTTAGGGCTGGAAGGGGTACTTTAGTACTTACCGTAATTTTGTATTCGTTTATTGAAGATAAAAGAGATAAAAGTATTTAGAACGTCACTGTCCTACTATCTATATCTACGTCTAGAACTAAAATTTAATTTATTATGCTGTGATGATGTAGATGACCTCGATGTTATTTGAAAATATATAGACTGGAATTTTGCGATTTTGACGAAAAACGTGATATTCAAAAAGATGACAACTAGAATTTAAACAAAATGTTGGAATAATAAACGTTACGTAACTATGGCAACAAGATTCCTGTAATTTTTAAACTTTGTTTTTAACAAAAGTATGAAAATGTTAGATGGATATTTGTGTTTACTATAGGCAATCATACGAACATTTTCGTGTTCATATCAACGTATGAACTGAAATGATCTAATGCTTCAGTGGCTGCATCGAGGAAATAATTAGCCCTAAATGCACCCCCAAATGATGAACAGCTTTCTCATTTGTCCTATTTGTGATCCTTCTTCCTGTTCACGCACGCGTGAATCAGGCAACCAGTGAAATCGCGCGCATTATCTATCACTATCTGTACCTTATTTTGAAAAATGATTGTCAAACATTCTGTATTGCGCCCAAAGTACAAATAGTGAATGCCTGTACTTCTGCACCTGTTGCACGCAGAGTTTTACAGTGTAAAGAAAAGTTTACATCATTTAACAATTTAACAAATGTGTCAATTGATTTCGTTTGTTAAAGAACTAAAATCCTGCATTTTCAAACAAGAAAAAAGAAGATTTTAAACTCCAGTTAAAGTTTCTCGCTAAAATGAATCAACAAAACGTTTGTTTCCATACGTGCGACTGCCTGTATTCAAGCGTACCCTTCATTTTCCTTCCACTAAAAAATAATGTGCAAATGGTAATTGATACGGGTGCAACTAAGTGCTTCATAAACCATAAAACAGTGAAAGAACAATTTGATGAAGAACTAGCGTTCGAACTTGAAGACTTTGTAGTGATAACGCCACATGGTGAATCCAAACATAATCAAAAGTTGAATGTGCGTTTAAATTGTTTCGAAAATATATTTCACAGTTTTTTACGTGTTTGACATATCAACGGAATTTGCTGGTGTGATTGGAATTGATTTACTGCGGCGGCTGAATGCAAAAATTGACTTGGCTAATGAAGTATTAATCACAGATAAAGGAAATCAAAGAATATATTTTAAAGACTCTGAAACACTGATCTAGATGTTGATTTAGAGCCAAAAAATCATATATATGATCGCTGCCATTGTCCAACGATTTTTCAAGATGTCCAAAGATAATTGTAATGTTAATATGATCAATAAAATACTAATATGTATGTACAAGTAAAAAAAATATCGCGTTGATATTTGAATGCTGTAATAATCACTCTTGAAATCAGATCGCTCGACAGTTTTGCGCACAAATGCGTTTCAACACACGCAGAATTTGACATTTTCACAGAAGTACAAACTGCATGGCCGCGACAAGGTGGTAATTATTCAATTAGGTCAATTTACATCCGACACCGCATATTAACGCAAAACAAAACAGCACACATGCACAAATGCATTAATTTATTAACAAAGCAACCGAATCGATTCGCAATTTCGCGAGTTTCACACAATCGAAGGAAAACCGAGCGAAATCTTGCGGAGAAGGAATAATGAAAGTAAAATCTTCCAGTATATGTATATTACTTTACATGACAATCATTTACGCGCCAGAAAATCATCAAGCTTGATCATCTCTTCCAAGGCATAAATATTCACACTCAATCACAATTATGACCAAACAAAACCGATAATAACGTGCTTAATACAAAAATGTAGCGTAGAATTATCATCATCATCATCGAAAGCAAGTGTATCGTTTCGTTTGACTTTCGTTTCCGTTCGAATGTAATCATAAATTAAAATAAATAACGTTCGAAATCCTGCTTGGAGTGTGGCAATCGTTAAAATAATATCCGATACTCGACGAATATCGGCATAGACCGTACGGAATCGCACTTTATTTGTTTGTTTCGATTCGTTTCAACGACGAGAACGTTCGTTTGCCTGCTTAAATGGTCGTGCCGGGCGAATAAAAAGAGGAAATTGTTGGCCGGCCCGAAATTGACTGGGGTTTTGGGGCTGGCGCACGCATAGTAGAACTCGTCCGACTGCAGCTGCGTGCGATTGAGATTCGGCTCGGACGTGGACCGATGGATCTTCGGCAGGCAGCGCAGCTGCTCCTCCAGCGAGGCGCGTATCTCACTGAATTGCGGCCGTTCGTCGCGCACAAACCGAATACATCTCTCTAACAGTAAGCGCAGTCCTTTCGTCGCATCCTTACGCAACTTTTTCAAATCCGGCGAGACATAACCGCGACCAACCATGTACAGAATCTGATCCTTGTTGTTGATGTGTCCATAGGGCAGTTGCATAGCGAGCATTTCGAACAGCACAATGCCGAAAGCGTAAACGTCCGACTGAAAACTATACGGATTGTCTTCCTGCATCCGAATTACTTCAGGCGCCATCCAAAGAATCGAACCTGTGGGTTGATGAAACTGTTGACTACCCGACCAACGCGTCTTCGCCGTCGCCAGTCCAAAATCACCGATTTTCACCGTCAGATCATCGTGCAGAAAGATATTATTCGATTTCAAATCGCGGTGAATGATGTTTTTCGCATGCAGGTAATCCATACCCTGCGCTGTCTGCCGGCTGATCTCAATGAGCGTCAACAGTTCAAACTTGGACTCGAAAATATGCAGATGCTTGTACAGACTGGAGCTGTCGCACCATTGTGTAACAATCGCTAAGGTCGGCTTGGAAACACAGCCCATAAAGAGTAGGATATTGACGTGCCGCGTCTTCCGCAGCACAGCCACCTCGTTTTTGAACGCTTGTAGCTGCGCAATCGTCGGGATTTTCACGCGGAGAGTTTTTACAGCCACCGGGCCATGCCAGCGCGCTTTGTAGACAGTACCAAAACTACCAGAACCCACACGTCCGCCGACGATTATCTCATCGGCGGGTATCTCCCAGTCTTCGATGCTCTCACGTGGCGCAAGTAGAGGTTTGCTCTCGTCCGCTGAACGCGCACGTGGCCTACGCGGCAGCACCGAGCTCGTTGGCGATGGTTGTGTGCTTATAAATAACTGTGCATGCTCATCGTCGGGCAAACCACCGCGATTCAGTGATAGTGAACGTGGACAATCATCTCCGGAGGTTTTTACGCTATTTATACACACATTGGGCGCCGAATTCGAACGATCTTGATGTCCTAGTGTTCCTGTTCTACACGCGGTTGGATGTCCGCCTAACTCGAGGCCTGCTTGGCCCGGATGTAAGATTCCCGCTGATGTTTCAGCAGGGCGCGCTAGTAGTGCTCTGTAGTAGTCATCAGCTCGCCTCACCTGCAAAGTAATACATTAAATATGTGGTGAAATGTTTTGTTTTAGTCACTTACATGATGGCACAATGAAGGAACACCATTGGCACATCTCTGATGAAATTTGTAGCCACACGTACGACATTGGAACCCTTGAAACAACAGCCGCTTGCAGGACTCGCAGAATACCAGCGAGAAAAACGTTTTCCGCACGAAATTATGCGAAATACTAATCGGTATCGGAAACTTGTCCAATATTTTCACCGTGATTTCATCACACTCGATCGTGCTGATGTCTACATCCCAGTTGATGATCTCCTCGGTGTCGCCCGCATACACGCATACGCACATCTCGTAGTAGAGATTGCGTAGTTTCATGGCTTTGGCGAGCGCCTCCCGGAGCGTCTGGCCCTCGCGCACCGGCACGCTGCTGCGCTGTTGATTGGGCAGGTGCGCTCGCAGGAACTTAGGCCTGGTGAGCGTGTCGGTGTGTCCTCCGCGCCGTTGCGGTGCCGCCGGCTGCTGCTCCTCGTCGGCGCCGTTGACGCGCTCCAGCAGTGTCTGTTTCTGCGCCTCCAGCTCGTGCAGCTTCATGGTGAGGTCGTCGTACTCTTTGAGGTACATCGCCGGCGGCTGCTGGAAGTCGACGAAGCGCGCGTTCAGGTCGTCGACGTTGCGCCGCGTCAGATTGATGACGCTCTCGATGTTGCGCAGCTCCTGGTGGATGTCCATCTCGTCGCTCTCCGTGGACATTATCGTGCGAGGGCCGCCGACCACCGGGCGCGCGTCGGGGTATAAAAAAACGGGGGGCAGCAGCAGCACGGCCGTTATTTGTATGCACTCATCATTCCCGCGGTCGGCGCGGCTTGCATTGCACTTTCGCGTGTGTGCACATATCTTGTGTCTATCACGGCCTATCACTTCTATCACTTCTATCGCCAACTACCATCTGTCAAGTCGTTTAGCGATTGTTTCGTTCACTCCGTACACTCGCTAGTCGACAGTTGTTTCTTTTTTACAACTCATTTGCACAGGCGCATTGCGCTAGGCAACCAAATATGCACCCAGCATCCAAAATAAATACAAAATAGATTATTAAATTATATTCAAATATTAATTAAAACCAGATGATTTTGTATATTAATCTATATGGAATCATTTAATTTTTCAGTTTTTGTTTTGTTTAATTCTTGTCTATTTGTAATTTATTACCATACGTTTATTGGACATCTGGTCTTCAACGTGCTTTCCAAAGCTTTAAATTTGTAACCGCTTCGAATTTCCCTGGCCAACTAAAATGTTTACAGCATCACAGTGCCATAAAAAAACATGAAGATTGTATTCGTATTGTATTGTTGAGAGTAGCATGGCAGTGCTTCGTAATCTCACCACTTCCTGAAAGACGGCAGTTTCTGCTGACTTAACAGCGCCCACATACAGACGAAAAGTTTAAGTTCTCATACATGCCCGGTGCGTTCTTTGGTTCTAACCTACAACATTGTTTTAAAAATGTTGTTTCTTGGTTGTCCAACAAACAAATCGTGAGCTATGTCAACTTGAAGTGCATATATCATTTGTTCACAATTATCACATAATTTTGAAATAATTAAACCGATGAACGGTAATACAACGTAGGTAATTGTAATTACCTATGTTTTTAGCTCCTCGTAAACTTGACTCTAGAGGAAATGGATAAAAGTTTCCTCAAAGCAAACGTAGTTTAAAACGCACTGGCAGTGACAGTGGAATATCCAATGATTCCATGGATTCACAAGCCAAACTGGTAACTGGTAAGTTTAAAATAAATAACAAATCATTTGTTTCATTACAATGTAATCTTACAATTTTAAGCAGCCCCAGGG